CACTCTTTCCCCTTGAAACTTCTAAAAAGGAAAGGTACCTCTGTTGGTCCTTGCTATGAAAGGGTCACAAAGTGAGTCTTGGTTTGACTTTCTTGCAAAAGAATGTACTGTTTATTCAAATGACAAGAGAAAACCACACTGATGGCATGCACAGCCTGATGTTAACCCCTCAGACAGCAGCTTGGTAGCCTCTGACAATCTTCCTGAAGACAGCTAGGCCTGAGGGAGGTTGTAATGATTTCTGGCCACTATAACTGACCCAAGCCATTCTTACAACCCAGAACATTATCTATAACAGGGTCCTGAATACTTAGAACATCTTCTGTCAAGAAAGTCCTGCAGTTTCATAGACATTGTCTTAAAATCCTCCAAATTCCTTCAACAGTAAAGCAATGGTTAGTCAACTGAGAGTGAGTTAATTACAACTTAGCACTAGGTTTCTCTTGCTTTCACATCTCATTAAACTACACTGAATCTAAATTCAGCTTAATACAACTGCTAGACCAGATTAGGAATTCCTTAAGGACAGGCTCTGGGCTTCCATTTCCTTTATAGTACCCATGAGCATTAAACATTTTGTTTCTCCTATGAAAAGAATGTCTTTAATTAGTCTTACTGAGTAACCAACCAATCAACAACCCAATCTGCAAACCTACTATGGGTTAAAAGGGAGAGTCATAACCTCCAGTCCTTCTGTAAACTAGCAGTTAAAGTGTTCTTTCTTGTCATCTGCTTTTCAGAAAGGCATTGTTGGGTGATAACATTCCCCTCCCTAATGCTTTTTGGTGAAAAAGGAGAGCTGGTCCCTAGCTTTTAGCAACCAATACATATTCCCTGAAAAGGGAACTGGCTGATATCTTTGCTGGCATGTCCTGGAAGAGCCACTGGTGGAATTTCTAGGCTCTGCCTCAACAGTAACCTGACAAGCACCACGCTACATTTTGGTAACTCCACAGGTGAAAGGGTTAAAAAAGGGTTGGGTACTTCGCCAGGACTTACATGGCTTCTGAGGCACGACTGTACAGGTAAGGGGGAAGGAAAGGAAACTGAGGTTTGAGAGTCATACAAATGTCCATGGTCCCAAAGATAAAGGAAAGTATTAAGCAGAAAAGTCAGTGTGATGTTTCATTTTGATAGGAACAATGGAGAGTCGATTTCTTGAACTTGAACTGGCAAAGCTCTCTTGATCAATCAACCACAATATTCACTTGCTTTCTGCTCTGTTCTTAGTCCTGATGGACACCAAGTGAGTGCCTACTTGGTTCCTTTCATAGCCAGTTTATATAGCTTCACTCCCTCTCCCCTGAGATAGACTTGGGCACCAGAGGCCAGGTCAGCTCTCTGGAGAGCTCGAGTTGGCTTCCCAGCATCTACTCTGTGTTGTCAGCCAACTGGCTCCCAGGTGAGGAGAACACTTTTGGCAGCACAGTCGTACACAGCAGGCGAGAGACCGCAAGAAAAGGCAAGGGAGAGGAGGCAGGCATGTGATTCTGAAGACAAATAAACACAATTAGCTATGCTAGAAACAAACTGAAAAGACTCAGTGGGAAGACTCTGCTGCTTTCAGCTAAAAGAAAAAACCAAAGGAAAATTCATTTTAAAAGAAACCTTTTACTTTCCCTGGCAGCCACCATCCAATGCTTGGCATGTGTTCTGCCCGGGTCCTTTTCATTTGCATTGATTCAACATTTCAAACACTATCACAATAGTGATTTGACTGCTTTATCAGTTGTGTTGCCCAAATACAATCCACTAATATTTCAGGTGAGTGCTTTTGTTCCTGGAGATGACAATACCAAGCCTTTCACAGTCATTGCGGCCCGAAGTAGACCCAATTTGTAGCAAGGGTTACATGGCTGAAGTCACAGAAACCAAAAGTCATGTCCCTGGGAGTTTCTTCTACTCCCAGGACCCAATTCCACAGTGTAGGATTAACTACGGCAGAGAGGTCGAGTAGAAACCATATAATAACTGGATGGGCTCCTTAGTTAAGGTAAACTGGGTTTGAATCCTGACTCTGACACTTACAGATTGGGTGACCTCAGGCAAGTAATTTAACTTCCTGTGCTTTTCTGTCTTTATTCTGTAGAATAAGGGTACAATGTTACCTGGCTAATACTGTCGTGAAGTTTAAAGAATTAGAAGAGTCTTTATCTTTGAAAAAACATTCTGAAATGCTCATTAATAATGATATGATGTCTGAGGTTTGTTTCAAAATCATTTGGATAAGGTATTATCAAAGGAAGTTGGCCATAAGTGATCATTGTTGAAGCTGGTTGATAAGCACTTAATAAAAACAAAGGTTTTATTATACCTTTCCTTCCACCACGGTCTTTTTAAAATTTTCTATAACAGAAAGTTTGAGAGAGAAGGTAATACACGTCAAGCTGCTGGTACATGGTACGTGCTCAATAAATATGATGGGTTCTATCTACATCAGAAAGGATCTTGGGGGCAAACGCTGAGATCACAGTCTGCTTTTCAGGAGCACTGTGGGTGCATTGTGGGGCCAGTAGTGTTTGGTGGGGGGAGCAGGAAAGGCCGACACACTAACTTCACTGTAACCCTAAATGATCCGCTACTGCCCAAACTTTCACCATCAAAACTGCTTCAAACTGATTATTATTAGTTTTCTATGCGTTGGAAGTTTTCTAAAACAGTCACATCCATTCAAAATTAATTACTCCATACTAGTCAGATACACATAATCACAAGTCAAATTTCAAATCAGATAAGCTGGTGGATGTCTCCAAATGCAGCAGCTCTCAACTGAGCTGAAAGCAAAGCACTTCTTAGTTTTGACGGCCTGTGCAGCTGTCTGACAATTTTGTAGCCACATGAAATAATGAAAAATGCTCAATGCACACCCCCACCCTCACCCTCACCCTTGGCCCCCATCTTCAGCCCTCTGCCTCCAGTAGGTTCAGGCAACTACATGCATAATTTCATAATTTCAGCTAGAAACTCCTAGCTTAAGGAATTCCTTACATTGGGTGATACCAGGAGGGACAGGATACCCCACCCTGGACAATTTCAGGCTAGATCTCCATTTTATGGGAGCCCTTAATTAAATCCAAGCTCATCTGTCCTGTGCCTTCTCACAAACAAGGCCTCTGCCATCCCAGCTCAGATATTACAAATTGTAATAGCCTTGGGCTATTACATCTCTTTTCTCAGTTGGAAACTAGGATACCTTCTTCCTAAAGTTGTTTCAGGGGTTAGAGACAATGTAAACAAGGAGCATTGCATAATGCCTGGCACATAGTAATTGCTTAATATATAACAGCTATTCTATCTTTGTAGGCCTCTATGTAGGATGAATATATTATAATTATCTCCTGTGGAACCTGGTTAATATTTAGACTCTGTGGCTCTCCAAATCATGAGAAGTAGCACAGCCACATAATTATAAACAGCTGAATATTTTCTTTCTCATTCATGTGACAGTTTCAATGCAGCTGCATTCAATCTTCTCCTCCATATTGCTGATGGATAGAAAACTATGTTATTGACATCAGTACCTACACAGTACCTGTGATTCCCTCTTCTCCTTCCATAAATGTCTGATGACATCATCTTTTAAATTTAAAACAAAATTATAAAAAGAAGTCCAATTCAAATCTAACCAGGCCATTCAGCCATCCAGTGTTATTACCATTATGAAACATTTACTGAATAATTGTGTGTGTGTGTGTAGTTGAGAGGGTCAACAGATGAGTGTAAACAATGAAGTTGGAATTCTATTAGCAAAAACTTCAGTTGAAATCCAGGCTTCTTGGGGGAAGTTTAGGGACACACTAAAATCTTTTATTTTATTTTTTCAGTAAATTTTTTATGGAAGTAGTTTACATTGTAGTTACTATTTTGGAAGTATAAGATCTCTCCCTTCTACTCTGAAATCTTTATCCTTAACCTTATCTAAACTCAGCACACACTCTTTTTCCTGATTTATTTTTCTTCATAGCATTGTTCACTACCTGATATTATTTCCTGATTGACTTTTTTATGGTCTGTCTCCCCCAAGAGAAAATCTGCTACATTAAAGCAGGGATCCTAACCATCTCTGTGTCTCTAATACCTACAACAGTTGTGTCAAGGTTATAGTAGGCCCTTGAAAAATATTTTTAATGAATGATTTAGTTTCTCTTTCCTTTCTTCAAACATCCAACTGCAAAAAAGGAATGTAGAGTTGCAACCCTGCCCTGGGTAATTCTCATGTAGCTGTCCACTATGATTCAGGACAGAAGACAGTATAAACACATAACATATGAAGTGAGGTCATGTGATATGAAGAACAATGGAGCAATTTCCTTGGAGCCTTTACATACACATTCTGATTTTGACCTCTGTATTGCAGCTTAAGCCATTTTTCTCATCGAAAATGCCAGCTTCTCTATCTAAATGTTACCCCTGTTTCAAGATCTCTCTCAAATTGTTTCTTCTGAATCCCACTCTGACTTTTAGAGCTCACGTTGATGTTACCCTTTTTTTTTAAAAAAGATTTATTTATTTATGCATACAAGAATTAGGGTACAGGCCAGAAGTGTGGGAGTGAGAGGAGTCACCAGAGACAGAGTGCGGAGCAGAACAGGAGGATTGACAGAAATACACTGCTGAGGGAAGCAGGAGATGTCTGCTGTGCCTTGTGGGTCACCTCCGAGGATGGAACTTATGCTGTACTGCAGACTGCTTCGTAGTGCTGATGCTTAACCCTTTGCACCACCAGGGAGGCCCCAACGTTACCCTTTCTAAACCGAGTGGCCCTATACCTACCAGCAGTGCTTCACAACCCAGCACACACTATACATGGTTTGAAGTTTTCTTTCCCCTTCACGTAAGAAAAAATTTGATGTTGCAAATGTATTTGATGCTCCTTAAACACAAAAACCATATACTTCTCTTGTATCTCTCAAAGTGACTAACAGGGTTTTAAGCACTTATTAAGTGGTCAGAAAATTCCTATCAATAATGAACTGACAGATTTCCTGTTTGAATCCTACCTCTGCTGTTCTGACATGCTTCCATTTACTCCTCCCAAACATCTATTTCCTTTTTTTCCTGCTTCTCCTGAAGTATTCCTGTCAAAATGACTCTCCAGTGCCAAGATCTAGAATGTGAACATCCCGGATGTGGTAGAAAGTTGTCATAATCCTGGGAATTGACACCAGAAACACAGAATGTGACATTATTTCTGGGAATGTGAACCATAGGCAATAAGTCAAAATTCGGGATGTTTTATTTATTCACGCATACAAGAACTGGGGTACAGGCCAGATGTGCAGTAGGGTGAGCGGATCCACCAGAGACAGAGCGGGGAACAAAACAGGCAGAAGGACCGAAATACACTGCTAAAGGGAGGGCGGGCGAGACAGGAGAGGTCTGCCGCGCCATGGGGGTATCTCCCCAGCTGGCCGGAATCGAACCTGCACTGCGGAAGCTGTGGACAGCTTCACAACGCTGCGCTCAATTGCCTGAGACACTAGGGAGGCCCTCAGGATGTTTTAAAGAGGGAGGAGAAAGAAAGAAAGACCATGCAATCCAAGAAATACCTATCGTATTTTTAATTAACCTGAATCTCTTCACTAACCCAAGATTTAATAAATCAGTTTCGACCTTCTTGAAATGCCACCCAGTTTCAGTGACATTCTTGGGGCCTTACCTGAACCTGTCTGCTGGGTGACATTCTGGTCCTGCAGCCAGTTCCAATCCTGGCATCAGCCCAGGCATGAGACTGGCTAAATCCACTTTCTAAATTACTTAGGATTCCTGGCAATTCAAGAAAAAAAAAATACTGATGCTTTTATCTTGCTTAATTACAGGAATAAAAAACTTAAGATGGGACTCCTGGACTGAATTATTTGGACAGAGTTATATAGATACACCATAAAAAATATAAATTCTTAGTTCAAGAGCCACTCTAACTCCTACACTGATTTTATATTATCCTTTGTTTTTCCCCTACTCTTTTTTTTTTTTAAAGATTTAGTTTTATTTATACAAGAACTGGAGTACAGACCAGATGTGCAGGAGGGTGAGAGGATTCACCAGAGACAGAGTGGGGAGCAGAACAGGCAGATGGACCAAAGTACGCTGCTGAGAGGAGCAATGGGTGAGGCAGGAGAGGTCTGCTGCACCATGTGGGTATCTCCCTGGCCGGCCAGGATCGAACCCGTGCTGCAGAGGCTGCGATCAGCTTCACAGCGCTGCGCTCAATCCCCTGTACCACTGGGAAGGCCCTGTTTTCCCCTACATTCTATACAACATTAGCAATTCTCTTTAGAATAAGTCTAAAAAGAAAATGATGAGAAGATAGTTTTCACCAACAAGTTTCATTTTTCACAAAAGTATAATCTACAGGCAATGTTCGGTAAAGTATGTGTGTTTTGATTCCCTCTTTAACTGGTTTGGGGATGTGTAGTCCTACAGTTTCCTGAATGTAGATTTATCCCAAATCTCTTGGGTATTCTCTTAGACTCAAATATCTGGTGTTAAGAACTGAGCAAATACACAGCTTCAAGCTGCTGAGGAAAAGCAATACATTCTCCATTCTACGAGAATAGAGAAATTTTCTTCATTGCTTTTCTTAATCTTGGACTATATCACACTAGAAGGATAAATGTCACTGCCTAATGCTAGCTGTATTTCCATATCAACAAAACCTCTTAAGTCAATAACCCCACCTCTGACCTCCTTCAAATTCTTACAGTCCTAAGAACTGGGGGTGTTGGTTAAAGCCAGGAACGAGCTCAGTCTAGAAAAGGAAGCAAACCAGAATTGGTCCTTCTCAAGATGTGGTCTTCTTGAAATCTTGAAGTCTCCTTTATTTAATTATTATAGATTCACATTCATCATAGTTATTAATTCATTCATTCAACAAATACTGCATTGAATCTTCCTCACACAAGAAGAAAGGGACAGTTTATTAGTTCTGTAGATGGCTCAGAAGTTTGTACCTTCCAGACACATAGAGAAGTCTTCCTTAATTCCTAGGCTACATCAACCTGACCCTCTAATCCAGCTGACTTACAACAGATTGCCCACTTTTGGGGAAATACGGTTTCTCAATGTCAAGTGGGATAATGCGAAATCTTGTTCTTCCACTCTAAGCTTCTGAGTTAAATAACCAACTAGCATTCATACACAGCCTGAGTTTGTTCAGATGATTTTAACCCTGTGCACAGGCTACAAAACCATGACACTTTCCTTGCTTACCATTGAAGCAGAGTCATCTCCAAAACTTACCTTCAAATTATGTATCTAAGGATAGGGATTGCATTTTTGCTCATCATTCTAACCCTGGTATTTAACACAGATTTCGCCCTTAAAATTTGATGAATGAACGTGAGACAGCCTTTGGTTCCCCAACTACCAAGAAGTCCGTCAAGCTCTCATTCCACAAGGATTAGTGCTCAGGTTCCTTCTCATCCAGGACTTCTCAAGCCATGCCACAAATTTCAGCAATTCATGGCACTAAGTATCACAAACAGCTAGGACAGTGTTCCATAAAGTAAATCTGGGCAGCAGAGAGGGATTTCCTCCCTAGCCACTGGGAGGTGGAGGCTTCCAGCCACACCACAAGTAAAACTGACTGAAAGCTACAAGTACTAAGATGATAGAAACTAAATGCTTGTGTCCCTCCTAAATTCTTACATTTAAGCCCTAACCACTAGTATGATGGTATTTGAAAGGGAACTTTGGGGAAATAGTTAGGTTTAGATGAGGTCATTAGGGTGGGGTCCCCTTGAGGGGATCAGTGTTCTTTTAAGTAGAGGAAGAGAGTTCTCTTGCTCTCAGGACCTGCCCTTCCTCCCTCCCTGTACCGTGTGAGGACACAGCAAGAAGGCAACCATGAACTGAATCTCTGACACCTTGATCTTGGGTATTCTCTTAGACTCAAAGACTCCTTGTTTCCAGAAATGTGAGAAATAAATTTCAGTTTTTTTTAAAACACACAGTCTATGGCTGTATGTGTGTGTGTGTGTGTGTGGGGGGGGCACCATAAGCTGACTAAGATATACAACCATAAAAAAAAAAAAAAAAGACATGCAACCATTTCCCTATTTAAATTGCCCGAGAAAGTCTAGAAGCTAGGGAAATGCCACCAATTCAGTATCAAGGCAATAACAAACACAATGACGAGGCAATAAGCAAAGAATTTGGACTTGCTGTCAGAAGCCAGTTCTGCTCGGGGCTAATAAAAATACCCATCTCATAGGGTTATTCTGAGAACTAAATGAGATGATGTGAATCTATTTCTTAACACTAGTAACTGCTCAGGCGGTCATTATAGTAATAAAAATGATAATTATGATGTTGAAAAAAATAATTATGATATAATAAATATGATAAAAATAGTTATGATGCTGAACTTGCTTTATGCTCATGCTGTACATTTTCACTGGACCTGCTACTCAGAAGGGACAGAAAAATGTGGTGGCCAGAAACCCATAGCAGTAATCAGAAACCCCAGATCTGAGTCCTTTTTGAGTCCATGTTCTCATTGTGACTTTCACAATTTTTTACCCTCTTCCCTTCCAAGTTTCCTTCATCTGTCAAAAGAATCTACATGATAATATCTGCCCTCTAGATCTCCCTGTATTACAAAAGTCTTATTTAACAAGGCATATAAAAACTTGTAGAAAACTATTCTGCAGATGCATGCAAAGAAATACAGAAAGAGGTAAAAAGTTATCAATAGATATTAAATACCCAAAAGGTTCTAGAACAATGTTTTTCAAACATTTGGGACTGCAGTCCATTAGAAGAAACATTTTACACTGCAAGCAGACAGACAGTCATCACTAAAAGAAAAAACCAAAACAATACCTAGGTTATTTTGATATTTCAGATTTGATCTGCTTCTTTTTTTCCCCTTTTTCTTTCTTTTGTTAAAAATATAGGTCACTGATTTCACAATGCATGGTCCTGACCCTCAACTCTCACTGGGTATCAGAAACATCTGAGGGCCATTTAAAAAAATCCATTGCCCAAGGCCTGCTTACCAAGATTCTTAATCAATGGTTTGGGGTGAAGTGGGGGCATCATTATTCTTAGTCCATGTGAGCCTATAGTACAGTGAGCACCAAAAATGACAAAACTAATGGTTTCTGGCTCACAGCCGAAACACCACTGCATTATTTACATCAGTCTGCTACACACTCTACCCCAGGAATGCTGCCCCTGCCACCCCACTGCTCTGCTGCTGGTTACTGGAGTGTATTACTCACTCCTGTGGCTCCAGCGAGCATGAGGAAAACACAGAAAGGAATGAAGATCAAAGGGGACCCTGGGCTTAACTGGAGGCCTCCTTTCTCCTTCCAGATGGCCAGGAAACCCCATGCAGGGTAAAAACTGGAGTGAATTTGGAGTATTTTGTTAAGAGTGAAGGGACCCTTAAAGGAACGTTGTGCTAGAGTCAGCGGGGTGAAGGAAAAGTAAAGAGAAACTGCCTTAGCTCACTGCCTGCTCAGGCAGCAGAGGAAGCCCTGACCACGCTGGGCCTGGAGATAGACTCAAGTCAGAGGAGGAGCCCATGTCTGGGCTTCTCCATTCTGAGCATCTGGTTCCTCTACACAAGAGCAGTCTGGGGACTGTCCTGTTCTGGCTGGAGTGATGTGCAGCCTACAGAGAGCAGCCAAGCAGAACCAGGGCAGAATGCAGGAGAGCACAGGACGTGAAGCTCAGGAGACAAAGTCTGCCTCTTCTTCCTCTCTCGGTCTTCTGCCCTTACCTGCCTGAAGCAGAGGATTCTCACTAAATGTTGCACATTTCATGAAAAACCTATTTCAAAGCGACCCCAACCATTTGATTAAAATGAAGATAAAATTATTTCCCCACATTTTTGTATCTTCCCAGTTTGCAATTAATAAAATTTCTAAATCTAAAAATAATTATGTTGATATTTATAAAAGAGCTGAGTATCAAGTTACTTTTCACCATCACTTGAAAAACAAAGCAGAGCAAAATTCAAGTCTAATGGAAACAAATTTTTCTCCTTTTCAACACAAGCCAAGAGAACTATAGTTATTCCATTAAAGTAATATTTTCTTGGGTAAAGGAAAAATTATAGGAGAAACTTAAACTTTTTTCCTGCAGATTTTCAATAAGCTTTTACCTAACACACAATCAAAACAGGAATGTTAATTTTTTAAAAATCTGAATTCAAATAATGTAGCTAGCTCTGGTGGCTTTTAAGGTCACTCTTTGACACTCCTAAGAACCATTGAAAACAAAATGTTCTCTCTCACATATTCATTTGCAAAGCCCAGCTGAAGGGAATATCATTATCTGAGAAAAGTTTAAATATGCACATGGCTTCAAAGGAATTTTAACATAAAACTATCATAAGCTATTGAGAACGAAAATAGCTGAAATATTGAACGCTTATGTGAGGCACTGAACTCGGTGTTCTATGGGCCTAAATTTTATATACACTTCATCACACACATGTGAAGTACATACTCAATAGCATCT